ACTGGATTCGTATTCAGCGATCTAAAAAACTCTTAAGTTTAAATAATAATTGAAAGCTATTTGGTAAAGGTAAATCGTCAATGACCTAAGTTACAGCTAACTATTGCAATACATCCCATATATAACCATGGATATCTTATTAACCATAACCGACACCACAAATTTCTTTTGAGGGTTGAAAGTCCTAACAACATACTTTATTTTGATTGTAATAAAACTTCTCCACACGTCAAGCACGTCACATATTGTAGTTATAATATGACAAAGTTCGTGAAAATAGCCCTTTTTGCAAGTTTAATTGTAAATTTCTCAAAATTCTGACGTAATAGAGCAATTTCGGAACCGGATTTATGTTCAGCATTCACAAACCTATAAGAAACGACTAGTCCCGTTCCGATGTTCTTTTTTTTTTGTTGAACTGTGTTGTTAAACTGAACTTTGAATCTCCAGCCATCGAATCTTGCGAGCCGATCTTCACGAGTGCGCATTTAAATTTTTCTCGATCTGAATATCGTATCGTAAACATTCGTCGCAATCGAAAGTTTGAATCCACACTTTATTAAAAAAATGCCGTTAGATTTTTGATTACGGCTTTAATACCTGAAATATCTTAATCGAAAGTTTGACTTAAAATTCCGGATAAGCTACTTGATAAGACCGCGGCCCCTGTACATGGGCAAAATTGTTGTCAAGCTAGAAATGTATTTTTATGTACTTGGCGTCGCATCGCTATCGCGTCGCTTAGATTGTGAATTTCGAGATAACTCTAAAAAAAATAGATTTTTAACATCACAATAGTTTAAGCATATATTTTAAAAGAAATATCGATAATATAATTTTAAAATTAGCAAAAAAAAAAATAGTGCCAACGGTACATGGTGTTCCCAAGCGGTCACCCATCTAAGTACTGACCATGCCCAACGTTGCTTAACTTCAGTGATCGGACGAGAACTGGTGTATGACAACGTGGTATGACTGTTGGCGAAAGTATAATTTCCAATTGTTGCAGAAATACAGAATTTGAAAATTTCGAGATAACTATATAGATATAGTAGATTTTATCATCACAATAATTGAAGCGTGTAATTGAAAAGAAATATCGATATTGATAAGATATAAATTAGCCAAAAAAAAAAAGAGATAGTGCTAACGGTACATAATGTTCCCAAGTGATCATCCATATTTAACTGTCAGAACAATCTCTCTTACAACATACTTAAATAGCTATTGCAAAATTGGTGAAATGTGACCATTTATAAATTTTTACCGAAATTCTTAAGGGGATCCTTAAGAGGATGCCGGACCGTCCTGTTTTACCGACCATAATAATTATATATTTGCTTAATATAGAAGTTTTGGCAGTTTGTATGTACAAAATAAGATAGGTTCCCACTCGGAAATGCATGAAAGAATATAAGTGAACGTTTGAAAATATATTTAGAAGCCTAGTAAAAAACATTTCGGTGTACAAAATTTTTGAACACCGAAATGTTTTTTACTAGGCTTCTAAATACATTTTCAAACGTTCACTTATATTCCTTCATGCATTTATTTCATGTAACCAATAAAAAAATTCCGTCTACAAAGTGTAATTAATTATGGCCGGTAAAACAGGACGGTCCGGCATCACCTTAAGAGGATCATGACCATAATTTTTTTACCGACCGAACACAATTTTTTGATTTTATCAGTTTTTGTAATGGCTATATGGCAGGGATGTTTCCAATTTTTAGTAACAAAAACATGTCAAAATATAATTAAATTAAAAATATATTTAAATTGAATAAACTAATAATCAAATATAATTTTCCTTAATACATTCATTATGTTACATTATATATTCTCTCTTCATTTTTTCTGTTTAACTTTGTAATAATACGGTTGTAATATATATTACGGTCTATAACAAGCGCAAAACTTTTAGGCTTTAGTTTATGTACCGTAATATATATCCTAAAACTGGAATTATTTCATGTTGCATAACTTACGTCAAAAATGTTCATGCGGTTTAATATCATATCATCGAAAAGTAGGAACTCACGTAACTTTTGTTCCGATGCATATGCTATGAAATAATCTCTTCGATTACCGTAAAAATTAAGAGAAAAACATTTTTAATAAAATCAAAAAAAGAGAGAGAAAAAGAAAAGATAAAGCGGAGCAAAGCTCTTTCTAATCTATAATTAAGATTTTTTTCAGAAATCTTATTGTTATACAATTGATGGAGATCTAGTTTTGTTGGAAAATTCCAAAACGTTTTCGTTTTTTGTGGTTCGATTTCTACTCTTGCACGCATGAAATGTAAACTTTGTGCAGTAGAATTTTGAGAGAGAGAGAGTTTGTGCGATAGTAATTTCCTGTATAATAATGTTACGTCTAGACTCTAGGAAGGATGAGTCAATGGAAGGACGCAACAACTATCTTTTATTACCCCGAAGTTAAACGTCTTGTAGCGTTTGGAATCGAGTTAAACGAACCAATAGGTCTGAAAAGCAGGTAAACGACCAAATCGCTATTACGCTGGATATTCAGACGTTCATTCGGTGGTCCTTTTTTGGTAAGAGAATTTAATCTCTTTTACACGGGATGGGATCAAGTGCGACCTTTCGACTAGGAATGAGTGGGGGTTAATAAAGAATTATTTTTATTTTAATTAACAAAGTATGAATTTATTCATTTTTAAAATAAAGATGGATATACATGATTATATAAAAATAAAAAAAATAATAATAGTGGTAATTTCTTGGTAAGTATGTGTGTGTGTGTATGTGTGTGTGTGTCTTAGTTCACGGATGTTACATTAGTATGGAGGACATCAATCAGAATATAAGGGAAAGATTCTATCGTTAACATTTAGGTTCTGACTGGTTATTACAATAAAGGTTTAATTAGTCAAAAAAAAGCAAAACATATGTGTGAGAGTGAGAAGGGAAATAAAGGATTATAAGGTGAGGGAATAGAGGGAGATTTTCCTGATTAAATTTAATTCTGATAGAACGAATCGGCTTCTAAATCAGGTAGTTCATCACAGAACTTCTGTATAGCTGTTTGAAGTCATCTGACTCCGAAAGGAGGAGACAGAGAGGATGAATCGGCCAGGATGATTGTCGATAAAGAGGAAAAGGATCGTGGGGAAAGCGGTGGTTCGATACCCGGAGAAAGATGTTCCAAGAAGTATATGGGAGAGTAGCTGGGGGAAAGGTGGTATGATGAGAGAGAGAGTAGGTTCGGCGGTTTGTATTGTTAATTGTGATGGCTTAGGATTTTGTTCGGCGCAAAAATTAAAATCTACGGGCGCTCGAGTCTTCCGACTTCCGACTCCTGCGATGGATTAATCTGCTGGGTTGCAAGGTGTAGATTTTGCCCGACCTGGTTTTCACTACGGAACCAGTGCGAATATAGTGATGTTATTTATCGCGGGAGTTAGATGTATAAATGAAATGGATTAGTTGTGACTTACTTTTTATCGCGAAGGCAGAAAGTTAGCGAATTCGATTAAGAAGTTGGCGGATTCGTGCGTTGTGGGTCGCTCTGTTGCAGTTGGTCGAGAGACGATGCCGATTGAGAACACTGGTTTGCACAATCAATTAACTCGCGGATCACGGTGCAGAAGCACAAAGCAAGATTGCGTGAAGACTGGAGAATAAGTGTGTGAATGTCTCTTCAAGTCTTTTTTTTATAATCCTCTTTTTAGAGGTGTATTCTAATTCTAATAGTGGAAATCTTCCAAAACTTCAACGAATTGAAATTGCGCAGAAGTGGGGATTCTTCACTTTAACGAATTAAAAATTGTGCTAGTGTCCTCATTAGGCGGGGTGACTCTCCTACTTTTCGAGTTTTTACCCGTGGTGATCGTCGATTGGTGATCTCAATATCAGTTCAAAGTCCCTTGAACATTAGCTTTCCCGGCGGACCCTCGAGCACGTGACCTGGTCAGGAAAAATCTTCCTTATGATTATTTTTATTGATATTGATGCAGCTATGTTTACTGAATATTTTGTTAAGGAAATTTTATCATTATTGATTCAGTTGTACTTGGCAGATATTTTGTTAGAAGGAATTTTATTATATATATAATTCTTTATTGTTCCCCTTGGGGTTACAAAACATCCAATCCTACACAACATACAAATAAAACAACGCGATACATCTTTTTCTTAAAACAAAACTCTTAACCTATCTCGCAAACTTAACCTAGACTCCTTACCCTACCTACCCTGCGGAAAATGGTCGATTAAAACCGATTAAAACATAATCTGTTTTAATCGGTTTTAATCGGTTCAATCCGTTTTTGTCTCGGAAAGCCCTTTCGAACGAGCTCTCACTCAACTCCACATGCTATTTAAGATTTTTTGGCTCCCCCCTTTCTCCCGTCCCTCGCGGGTGTAGAGGTGGGTGTTTTTGTGGTTAAATAATAGACTTTGTGATTCCATTGTATCCTTATAAATTTCAATCCTATATTTCAAACCATTCAAAAATTATTTAGGTGGTCCGGAACTTTTGGTAGGCACTGTATACAACATATATTTTATATTTTATATATTTTAATTTTGAAAAATAAAAGTTCAGATTAAAAAAAAATTAATAGTATTTACATTTGTACTTATAAAAGTACGTAAAATTTATTGACGTTTATATTTTATTTAGTATTATTATAATATAAAGATAATTAATAATATTATTAATATAAAGATAATTAATAATATATACATATATGTAATAAAGATATTTTAATATTTTGATTTATATAAATATTTTTTCCAGTACTTTACAAATAATTTAAGATAATAACAAATACTTGCATAAATATATCATCACAATAGTCATCAACCGATCTCAATTATTCAAACAAAGCGCTGCGCACAATAATGGGCGCGTTCAGGAGACACAACCGTTGAGCATCGTCTTGTCAACACTCGACTTTGATTTGTTGGTTCTAGAAGTAAAAACCAATCACGTTCGATTGCTACTCAACGGTTGTGTCTCCTGAACGCATCCAATATGGCGGATGATTGGACCTGAAGATCAAATATACCGACCAGTGATGCGGACACAGAGTGAAACTACTGTATATATTTATATTGTGTCGAAGTCGTGTAAAAATGATAGTACACCTTCCTGAATTAAATTTCTCGCGAATTGTCGCGACATTGATTCTATGGACGCGATGTGCGCAGATTTGCGGAGGAATCGAGGCCGAAGTCGAGTTCGATGTGGAAGGAAGCGGATTTCATAGGTTAGAAATGTCATAGGTTAGGATTTCATAGGCTGGATTACGAGTAAACGATGCTCTTCCCCGTAGAACTGTCATATTTTTCTATCTTTTACAGAACATTTATTTATCACGCGTATTTCAAGGATTTTATCAATGATAACTGTCAAGCTGCCATTTACATGGAATTACCATCGGAATTGTATGTCAATGTGGACGAAGTAGCAGAATTGAGAAGAAAGGGCACGGTACATGCTTTAACCACACTAAATAATTGATATAATTTGAAAAAAAATTGCAATTTTCCATCTTGACATATTTATTTTATTTACATCTAAAATTAATTATATACATTAAAAATTACTGTGCATTGTTTGAAATCCCCTAAATAATGAATTTTGGGATTATATTAAAAATACAAAATGAAAGAACATATATCAACATTATTTCTGATTATTGTAAATTTTGTGAAAAGAATATATATTAGTTATATTAATTCAACAGTTATTTTTTTTTTATATTTGTACATATTTTTTTATTTACACTTAACAAATTAGAGATTTTCTTATTCTAATTAATTAATAATACTAATTGATAATATTGCAGAGTACAATCTGTTCCATAGGTGAGACTGATGTCGAGCTATTCGCCGAGAAGGCTAGTCGGCAAAACGTGACAGCTTGCACATCCGTAAATTTATCATCGTCCAGTTTAATGATCCCACTTCATCAGCGTTATCGGTACGCTCGTGAGACCGGTGGCTACGTCGACGCAATTGTGCCTGAGCCGAAGCTGTTTCTGGGATGCCGGGAGAGGCTCAGAGATCATAGAGTGTCCAAGACGGATCTATGCGAGCCGTGCGTCAGTCTTGCAATCAAGTGGCGTGAAATTCCATATCGTATGTTGAATAATCGTGCATACGTGTGGCCGATACCGGTCGGAGATTCATCTCTCTCGATGTATGTCACTTACGTCACGTTATTGGCAACGGTTATCGGCGCGATGTTTATCGCGTATGCTATTCGAATCAATACATCGAAGAATCATTCGAAACAAGACTGAGATAGTTTAAGATTTAATATACAAGTAGTTTTGCAACTCTAGAAATGTTTTTATTAATGATTGTTCCAAATAGATTAAATATCCATTGTTTTTATATGAGAATTTAAGAAGATTTTATATATTATATAGTCTTACAAATTTTTCAATTGTGATGTTTTAATAGTTTTGAGATTAAATTCGTCGATATTTAATTTAAATTTATTTAAATTAAATTAAACTAAGTTTTATTCAAATTGAATCGCAACATTTTTGTTGCAAAGTCTATTCGAATTTAATCGCAGAACTTCCTGTACAAATATATACATTTGACTCGATCAATATTCTCTTTATACATTTTATATATATTTGTATATTTGGGCTCACTGCAATTTATATGCAGCCTCTAGTCAAAGTCTTTAGTAGATATAATGGACAGTCTCACGTGCATGTTTTTAAGATGATATCGTACTCCAAGTCATTTAAAAGTTGGCATACAAACCACATATCCACACATTTAAAATGAACACAGTTTAAAAAATAAAAAGGGAAACAAGTGTCACATGGCATTTTACGCTTTTCTATTTTGATTGTCATGGAATCTTTTCAATGTTTTTCTGCTCCTGTATCGTCGCCACAGTCATCGGTGTCATCGATATTTTATGCACGATGCTATCTCGCCTGCTTTTAATCTCGTCATTCCACTTTTGCACCTCGCTGGTGCCGAATATGATGAAGGTTAGATTGCCCACTGTGTATATCCCAGCCGACAGGAAGAACACGGTTCGCCATTGCAAAATGTTAGTCTAAACAGGAGAAAAAAGTGATTAAACTTGTTTTGATTTCATGAAGCAGAAGAATGTATTAAGTGCAACGAACAATGGAATCGAAAATATTTAATAGGACTTATTTTTAATATATAAATAATAAAACATTATATATAAAAGAAGCTATTCAGAATATATTGTCAAAATACTTTTCATGTTTGCATTTATGTTTCGATTCAATCATTTCAGAAGTAATATAACAAAATATAGAAATATATATAGAATATCGAGTGTGAAAATGTAATCACACAATTTATTTTTATACATATATTTATAAATCTTTAGAGTAAGCTATGATAAATTCTAAGGAAAAAGAGGATAAATTTACGTTTAAATCTCGAAGAGTTCATCCATTCAATATTGTTCGATCTTTTTTAAATTTATAAATTTTTTTAAATTTTTTAAATTTATAATTGTATGATAAAAGTAAAAATACGAATGAGAGATTTTACGAACCGGATCCTCGACGATTACGCCGGCGATCAGCGGCGCGAGAATGCTGCAAATGGACGCAATGGCATTCGTTAATCCCATGAGCGTGCCGGCAAAGTTGGGGCTGAGATCCATATGATTAACGTTGTGACCGCAGAAAGCGGCGATATTGCTGGACACAGCTATGACGAGGATGCTGATAGCTAATTCCGGCTGGTCCTGTCTTGTGTAACCCAGTCCGATCAGCGCGATCGCTGGCGTCCACTGGCCGATCGTGTTGCAGATCTTCCGCGACATTTGTGTCGTCACGATGTTCTTCCGGATGCAGAGATCGGACACGTAACTGATCGGGAAACTGACGATCCATGCTGTCAAGTACGGTAACGCGGTCATCAAACCGTTCTGCGTACAAGGACAAAGAAGAATGCAGAATATTAATTGAAATTATATTATTCAAATTTAATTCAATTTTTTTCTAACAGCAGGAGAAGATTTTTTGGCAATATCGAAGAAAAATTGGAAAATATTATTTCATGAAATTTATCTTTTGCATAAAGATATATTTACGACAATTTATATAAAAGTATAATTATATATATCTAAAAAATTTCTTAAATTTTATCTTTCATTAATTTCTTGCGGCAGTCATTGGCTTTCGCTTATTGACAATGGCACTGAAACTAATGTCCACGATGTCCATGATGATCCACCGACCAGAGCCTCGAATTGATCCGAGGTTTGGCATATCAATCATTCGTCTATCGTCGACATACGCATTGAACTATTAATTAATATTCCACACGCACCGTACGCGATTTTCGCAGTCGAAACACGCGCGCTACCTGACCGAATTCCAAGGTCCAGAGTTTTTTCCAAAATTTTGCAAAAGCATAGCGGAAGACTAGGGTTTAAATTCTATCTAAAATATTACAAGAAACTCACTTTCTTGATGTCGAAACGCATGATCGAAGCCATATAGGACGGGATTTCCGTTAGCAGCATCCAGAATCCCCAGGATTGCGCGCATTGCGTCGCCAATAGTGCCCAAACCGGTGGACTCTTTAATACGGATATCCACGGAGTGGAAGGTTTCTAAAAATAAAAAATAAGTATAGAAAAGAAAATTCATTCCGCAATCGCAAAATTTCCTTAAACTCGAAAATTTTAATTTAAAGACACAGAATTAAGATCGTCTGCTTCTCCTTAAATCAAATCTAATATTTTTAGTATTTTTTTATTTATGTAAATTTATTCACAAATATATATATAATGATTTATATAATTTATATATTTAGCACTCTCTCCTCTTATTTAAATTATAAAGTTCTTAAAATTGGACTAAATTTAAAATCAATAAGTTTAAATTGATCCTCAAAGTGTGTGACGAATTTAATTGATGTGAATTCATTTTTTTTTTTTTTTTATATAGTATATTGAAGGAATATGTTACCTCATCGATCTCTGTTATTCCCAGACTCATCTCGATATACTCCTTTTCGTCGAAAGGTATGCTGGGATGTTCAGAGGGTGAATCCTTCCCAAGTAGGTAGAAACCGATGCCACACAGCATGCTGAGGCTTCCCCAAACGTAAAAACAGCTGGGCCAGCCGATTGGTGATGCCGCGAGAAAGCCGGTACTCAGCAAACATACTACGTTTCCGATCCAGCCACCGGAATAAACGAATGTTGCTGAAAAAGTATGGAAAATATATTACAAGTACACTGAAAAAAATGTACTATATACAAATTTTTTTTTTATTTAAAAAGAAAATTTATTTAAATACTTGCAAGCAAATTAGTAATTTTAATTAAGCAAAATATATATATTTGAATTAGTAAAATATAAAACAAAAGCGAAGTATGCTTTTATTTGCAAATAAAAAAAATTTGTTTTTTTATCCTTATACTAAATTACTTCCTTTAAAAAAAAACATTTTTTAATTTTTGACTGCTTGTTTCAAAAATACAGATTTTCTTTATTTTAATAAATAATTTTTTATCTTCAAATAAATATTTTTTTATATTAAAATTTTAAATCATTTATTTTAAAAATTATAATTTTTTTACATACAAATAATTTATTTAATATAATATATTTTTGGAAACAAAGTATACATTTATTTAAGTAAAAAAATAAAAATTAACAAAATGTATTTATTTCATTGAAAAAATTTTTTTTTTTTGGAGAATGTGTAATCTCAAAATAAATTTTAAATTTTCTCTTTAAAAATCGTAAACTTCGAGTATATTTCTTTTTATGAAATTTGCAAGATTATCGCTGTCTTGAAAAACCTGGGAAATGTCGAGGATTGATGGAAAAAACTGGGGAATAGAGAATCGAGAAACTTGTATATATATAATTTACTTGAGTTACGGAAATATATCTTTACTATGCGATATTTATTATGAAAAAAGGATCATTTAGGAGGTTTTTGCGTACCGAACGACAATCTCGACGTGCTTAATTTATTCGACATTGCCAGACTGTGATAAGAATTTTTTATCTGCGTCAAACGTGCTTGTCAATTAAATAGCAATGCCATTGTCAGCCAAGAATGATTACTAGTTTTACATCATATAACCGATTAACAAATGTTAAGTCGATTCAAAAGAAATAGATCATCAATTGAGATTTAAAATAAAAAATTAAGAGTCATCGATTTTGAGAAATCTTAGCATAAAACAATCCAGAATTATTACAAAAATATAACAGCAATTTTCTAAAATATTAGTCTCCGAAATCCCCAATATCTGTTATATTTTATTAAACGTGAAAAATGTAGGATTTGACAATACTTATATATACTCGGATTAGAGAGAGAGGATGAAAGTACACATTTGTCACGCATTATCAAATAAGAAAATCACTGACCGAGTCTACCGCGCTCCTCGGGTGGCGACCACTTGGACAATAGGGTATGAAGAGACGGTAGAGTAGCACCCTGGGCCAGGCCGCAGATCACTCTGGCGGCGATCACCGCCTGCCAGCCACTGTAATGAGCGGCGAATGGGCTGCTGAGGGTCAGCAGACCAGAGATGATAAGGGTCGCCGACAACAGTCTCTGGGCGCTCCATCGCTGGGCGAGGATGCTGGCGGGTATTTGCGTGCAGGTGTAGCCCCAGAAGAAGGAACTGAGGATTATGTGCTTGACCGATTCGCTCCAGTCAAACTCCTTCGGCAGGAGAGGGATCCACATGATGTTTAGAATCCGCGCGAAAGGTAATCATTGTTATTATGTACGCACCTCGAAATTGGGATTAGCGCTGGCCGCATTGGTCATTGCCTCCAGGGTCACCGAGGTCGTCACCCGGACGGCGTAGCAGCAAAAGAAGCCCAAGCACATGAGCACTACCTGCGTGTGTCTGCATCCGTATCGTGCTACGAGAGATTAATGTTAATATTATGATACGTAATATAATAATTATATACTTTATTTAATATAATACAATATATTTTTAATTATTATATTT